AGTGAACCTTATCCAGTGAATTTTATTGATTCTGAGGGAAAAAGCAGCAGGATGAGAGCTTGGGATAGAAAAGAGCGAGGGAGAAACAACCCCGAGGAGCAGGTGTTCAGAGCAGGGTCAGTGGTGACAGGACAGGCACAACAAGCAATTCTGTTCTCACCACACCCAAGTCCCACTTCTGGTGGGACTCTGAGGGCTGCTGGAATCCAAAATAAAGGGTGTCAGTAAATCAAACCCCAGGAGATGCCTGAGCCAAGCTGTGAGGACAAAGCTTCATGGCTGCTGAGGAAGCAGGAAGCTCCCACCACCCAACTGAAGGGATGTGGTGCTGCTAAAGCAAACAGAGCTCCCAGACCACGTGGAAGTAAACATTGTTCTCTTCCACAGCCCTCCTGGCATGTCCAGTGCCTCCTGTTCAGCCTGTGCCAGGAGGTGAACCGGGTGGGTGGCCACACTCTTCCCAAGGTGACCCTGCAGGAGCTGCTGAGGACCTGCCTGGCAGAGGTGCTCGCTGCCTACCAAAAGCTCATGGAACAGAAGCAGGAGAAGGTTCGTGGGTGGGATCTGCAGGGGGTGTGGGATGGCAGGGTGGCTGGGAATGCAGGGATGCACATGCTCCTGTCCCTTGGAACAGAAAGTGTCTGTCCATGAGAGCTGGAAAGGAGACACTCTTAAACACTCACCCGAAGCTGAGGCAGCAGGGGATCAGACACATTTCATGCTCACAACGGCTCGGTTCAGTTGGTTGTGTCTTGGGGCTGGTGTTTTCAAATGTTCCCCTTGGAGAGCCCTCTCTGTGCCAGGGAAGAGCCCCATTGCTGCCTGTCCTGTTTCAGAAGGTGGACACCTTCCCCCTGACCCAGACCAGAGCTCTGCAGTTGCTCTACGACCTGCGGTACCTCAGCATCATCCTGACGGCCAAGGGTGAGGAGGGGAAACCCAGCAGGATCAAGCAGGACTCTGGGTGAGGTGCAGTTCTGGGGTTCAGATCCTTCAGCAGAAGGTTGTGGGGCCCTACAACAGTCACAGGAGTCGGGCAGTGCAGGCTCCAAGCTCTGACACTGCACCCTGCTCTGACACTAAGCTCACCCTTAAAATAGGGGAGGGGTGGGACTCTGTGGCCAGGAGCTCAGGCAGCAAGTTGGTCCCCTCTCCTTGTGTACCCACTGTGTCCATGGGACACCAGGGATACCCTCAGAGGATACCCTGCAGAGAACCCTTAAGCTTCCACCCGGGAGTTAAAGCCTTGGGTGCGCTCCAGTCTGAGGCATCTTTCAGAGGAACAGGGAGAAGGTTCCTCTGCCACAGCAGCTGCTGTGGGTTGTGTAAGAGCTGCAAACCCTTCAGGCAGCTGCTGTTCCGCTGAGCAATTCCTGTTCTGCTCAGTCACCTCAGAGAGGAAATCCTGGCTGCTTCAGAGGTGGCAGCAGCAGCTGTCAGCAGGATGTCACCCCTGACAGGACCCCTCTGCTCTGCTTGCAGGATCGAGAAGGTGATCGACTTCCTGGAGGGACACATCGATCCCTTCGACTTGGACGTTTTCACTCCACACCTGAACAGCAACTTGAACCGCCTGGTCCAGAGAACCTCCGTAAGGAAAAGGGCTGCAAAATGCCTTTAGAAGGGCAGCTGGGGTGGCTTTAAACTGCTTAATGCCTAAAGATAACCACTGGCACTTCCTTGGAAATGGGAAGAGTATTTAATGCCAGCTGAAGATAAGAGGAGCTGGCTGAGCCGGCTGTGCCGCGTCACCGTGCGTGGAGTTGGCTCAACTTTATCTAACAGGATTCACTGGAGCCTGTGCAACACTAAGTGGCTTAAGTAGTGCTGAAACAGGCCTGGAACTCAACTCTGGGAATAATTAAAAGCAAGAGTTAGAGGGGGAAGGGAGACACTTCACGTTCAAACTTAATGCCAGTGGACTCACCGTGTTCTGTGTGATCAGCTCTGCAGGGCCCCCAAATTCAGACAGCTCCTCGTGCCTTTCAGGTTCTCTTCCCCAAATACAAACAGCTCCTTCCTGCCTTCCAGGTTCTCTTTGGCTTGCTGACGGGGACAGAGAACCAGTACACGAGCCGGAGCGGGGCACTGAGCTCCCAGGAGCTGCACAACATCCTGCCCTTGGCATCCAGCCAGATCAGGTGAGGCACTCGGCTCTCCCGGGCATTCCCCTGTCTCTGGGGAAGCAGGTCTGGAATCGCTGCTTCCCGTATCTCTTCCTTCCATCTCAAGGTTTGGACTCCTGCCGCTGAGTATGTCGAGCTCACGGAAGAGCAAGTCCACTGCCAGGAGCACAGAGCGAGTCCAGGTTGGTACAACTGGGCCCTACAAATAGGAATATTTTGCCAACATGACACTGGAGCTTGTGGGGAAAGAAGAAAGTAGCCAAACAGTTAATATTTCACCTGATTTTTATTTTCGGTAAAATGAGAGTCATTATGGCAACACAGCAGGAGATGGGTTGGATTTTCCCACGACCCTCAAAAAAAACCCCCCCTTTGCCCCTGTATTTTTGGGCCACTGCTCTGTGGCAAAACAGGCAATAAGCACCCTGAAACACAGTGAGGATTTACACAGCCCGGGCATCTCGAGGGCAATGCATCCAAGACAGTTCACTGAGGAGGGGCTGCAAGAAAGGCTGAAGGACAGTGGCTAATGACTGAACTCCTTTGCAGTGGGACGCTGCCCTCTAACCCCGAGGAGCCTGGCCTGGTACCTCAGCCTGTGTGAGGAGTGTGTGCTGCTCTCGCAGAGGCTCTGCCCTGTCCTGTGGCTGAGCTGTAGCAGACAAGCCTTGTGTTGCTACATTTCCCCCAGTTTAAAACATCTGCTTAGATGGAGCTCTGTGTGCTGAGTGAGAGCCAAGGAATACTCACTGCAGTGGGAAGCAGGAATTTCCTTAAGTTATTACCAACCCAGTAATCCATCTGTGGTGACGTCTTGGCAAGTGGGCCAAGTTGGTGAGCCTTGACAAGAGTCAGGACAAGAGTTAAAGGTCTGGTTTTATCACATGAGATGATGTTCAATTCACTCTGCAACTCTCCTTTCTCCCTTACTCAGAACCATTCAGGACCAGACACGACATAAGGGTTGTTTAAAAGCCCAAAGCTCCCCAATAAAGGTATTCCTTACCTCTCATACCTCAGCTGGAGTGGACCATAGAAGTGTGCAGTGATGTGTGGCTCGCTCCTGTCACTGCCCTCACCTGTATCCTGTGCCAGCCACCCTTCCCAGAATCCCTGACAGCTGCCTGCTCCTTCTTCAATGCTAAATCACTCCTGGAGAGGTTAAAATCCGTAGTTCTCCACGACGAGCTCTCTGCAAGGGCAACAGCCGTGCTGCTACCACGCTGTTATCCTTTGCTCTGAGGGCAACAGCCTCTTCCCTGCAGCTCAGAGTGTTGATGTGGGGTTTGTCGAGCACTGAGTGCCATCTGCCAAGTTTCCTGGCTGCTAAAAACAGCCAGGTGCTGCTGTGCTGCTGTCCCTGTGTCTGTCTGTCACTAACCCCCAGCAGCAACACCGCGCTGGTCGTGGGTCAGGTTGCCTGGGAAGAGCTGTTCCTGCTGTGGGCTACACCTTGCAGCTCCTGTGGCTGAGGGTATGGAGCAAGTCACAGGTTTGCTGTAACAGTTATAGTGACTTCTGTGTTTAAAAACTGCCAGGTTGCAGCTCCTGTGCTCCCCAGAGAAGACGAGGCCTCCCGCCCGGGCTCCCTGTTCAGGCAGCTCGTCACCGAGGACGAGGACACGGCGGCGCCTTCGCTCTTCAAGCTGGGCTGGCTCTCGGGCATGACCAAGTGAGGCAGCAGCAAATAAAACGTTGGGCTGTGTGTCTGTCTCCTCTGAGATCCGTCTGTCCCCTGGGCAGGACCGGTGACACCTCCGGGATTGTCAGTGCTTCCCATTCTCAGCCGGATCAGGGTGTGTCACTCGAACCGGGCTCAGCTCGGGATTGTCCTTGTCCCCTGGCTGCTGGAGCAGAGGGGGAGCTGCTCTTTCACCTCCTGTTCCTTACATTGTTAACCTTGAAGTCAAATTAAAGAAAAAAAAAATCCCCAAACAACCTACACACTAACAGAAAACAAAACATTTCACAGCTAGAAACGGGTGCTGGAGCAGGGCAAGACTCCTCTGTCCTGCTCTGAGTGGCCCCAGGACCTGCACAAGCTCTCCTGGGTCTAATTTCACATTTTCTTGTGAGGCTCATGTGAGATAAGACTCCTCACACTGAGCTGGGTGGGAGCTCACAGCTTCCCGGGCCTAAGGACCTGCAGTCACTGCTCCTATTCTTAACTGTTCTTACTAACTAAATGCTCAAAAAATTATGTTGCCAAATCATTTTTTAACTAGTTTATTGAAATTAAAAAAAGACTTATAAAACTGAAGAGGAACGCTTAAGAGAACTTTACAGAAAGCAACAACTTGCTAACAAACAGATTAGGCAGTCGATTGGAATTGGACAGTTTGCAATCCTATAACACACATGTGGACTCCTCAGTCTCCTCTTGCCACGCACTTTAGAACCACCCCAAAAAGAATCCTATAAAAATTGCTTCAAAGCCCCTTTTGCATTGCAATAGTGCAGCAAACCACAAGTAAACAATCTCCTGTTAACCTGTTATTTCAAATATAGACTGAAAAGGCAACAGGCAGTTTTGTGCAATTCCATGTTAACAAACTTTGAAGTTGAAATATCAAATCTACACAGTGCTGTCCCTTCACAGAAGGCAGGGAGCTGCTGGGTCATCATGTAGGGAGGCGTCCCCGGCTCTGTAGGCTGTGGAAGTGGGCTTCCTTCAGGATCTGGTTGATGTGGAAGTAAGGGCCTTGGCTTAGTGCAGACTGCTCGTGGAAGGGCTGGGAGGAGACGGGGCTGGATCCCGCAATGCTGGGGTTGAGGCTGGACTCTGCACCACACGCTCTGTCGGGGCTGTTGATGCTGCTGCTGCAGCTGCTGCTGCTGCCGCTGTCGCTGCTGGAGGACTGGGACACACAGAGGGTGAACAGCAACATCAGACACTCCTCTCCTGCCCTCGCCCCTTTATGCCAACCCCCTCCCCTCCGGCTTGTCAGCCCGATGGACTGAAGTAAATCCCCCTGGCATTACCAGGTTGTTGTTGCCAGCACAAGCGTCCCAGAGCTGAGGGGACAATCCTTCACCCGGGGTTCGCTGACCTCCAGGATGTTGGATTTCAGTCTTTCTGGTTTAAACCCATCAGCTCTGCCCCCGAACCCACATTAGCACTAGTGAAGTTTGCTGGATTAATCCGAGAATTGGAAAATAAAGAACAGTCCTAGGGAGCTGCACGTGTCAGTACAGGCAGGCAGGGCAGGGGGGAGCTGGAGTTTGGCACTGCTGTTGTAGCAGAGGCTTTACGGGAGCATCATGCAAAGCCTTTTCCTACAAGACAACCCTTCTAAAGTGAGATCTGGAGCATCCAAAGCAAGAAGCTGTTAAAAACAAATGCACCATGACACCCATTTTAAGTCTTTGAACACCTTGACAGAGATACAACTGCTCTTCTCCCAGCGGAGTACTGGGATGGCAGTGTGAACTGGTAGTGTCCCATAACAATTCCATGACAATTCACATGACAGTAAAAGAGCAAAAGCCACTGAAAAATTCCACATGCAGCAGAGAGAACTCAGGATATGGCTCCCAGAGAGGCCAAGGCTCATTTGCCAGCATTCAGGATAACCACGTTTCATGGGAATGGCTGGAAGAGCATCAGCCATCATTCTCAGGCGTTCAAAGACATCAAACTGTTCAGCTCACAGCATTTTAAGGGCTGCTAAGGAAAGGTTCCAGCAGCTGAAATATTTTATTACTGTGTGATGTGCTGGTCAGGACCTGCAAATATTTGGGTGAGTCAATTAGTGAGTGGCTACTCTGCCATCCCATAAGTAAATTCACACAAGCATCCAGAGCAAGTGAGAGCAGCAAAAAACTCCACGTTTTTGTAAGTATTGAGCCACAGAAGTCAAAGCTTTGTGCCACAGCAGAGGAGGACGAATTTCAAGAAGTCCCCAGTGATTTTGCAGTCAGCACCACATCCAGAAGGAGGCAATCTGAGGAATGGTGCAAACTGCACCTGACGTGTGTCCAAGGCCCAGGAAGGCACTGTGGATGTTTGGGGTGGACCACAACCCCTGGCACTGACCCACCACGACCATCCAGCCCTACCAGAGCCCCCTGTTTTGCTAAGCACCAAAAACGCTTCAGCTCTGATGGAGCACAGCAAGCCAAGCCAGGGGCCCTGAGGAGAAACACCCAGGGGGAGTCATTCCCGAGGAAGCACAGATGGAACTACAGGAGCAACCAGCTCCTCCTCCTAAAGCTGCTAAGTCTAGAGAGGGAGAGAGCCCTGGCAGGACAGCAGGAGCCAGGAAAGGCACTGGCCACCCTCTTGCCCAGCAGCACAGAGGGACACGCGAGCTGTTACGCCGAGTGAGCCACAGCAGCCTTGGAGAGAAACCCACCGCACAGGACACTTTGTTTCCTTTTAGTCTGCGCTCCTTACTGAGTTTCGTTACAGCCACCTTCTGCAAATCAAGGTAAAAAGCCAAATGAGAACCTGGCGTCACCCACTGCTCCCGTTTCACACCCCAACAAACGATTTCCAGCGGTTACTTTGTGCATATCCGGGTTTTTCAAAGCTGGCACAGTGTCCTGGGACGTGCTTCTTGCACCTAAGGCTGTTGACAGATGTCAGGGCTTGTCAGACCCTCTTTATTTCCAGTTCTCTAATGCAAAAATTCACTAGCACCAGCACCCCTTCATCACTGCCCCAATCCCATCGAAGACCTACCATTTCCCCAGGCTGTGGTGCACTTTCTGTTACGCATTTGGACTACAATTAGACAAGAAAAGAATCCTTGAAGTCATCATGTCAGCAACGACAGGCATCTACACAGTGCAACAAAGCTTTAAAAGGGCAGAGGGGAGCAGCCCAGTGAAATTTGGGACTACTTTAACTACCAAAAGGGCATCTTCAAGGTTTACTGGACTCATTAACCCTTAACATCGCTCAGAGCAGCTACACAAGCTTCATTTCCCAACAGATGTGCTGTTAAATGTATCAATGTGCAGATCTGTGTCGCAGCATCTCGGTCCCGCCTGACAGGAACTGCAGGAACAGCCACTCAGCCCCTGCTGCCCTCAGACTCCCCCAAGATGAGTTTAACAGAGACATGGTCTGGTTTTCACTTAGGATTTTAGACCAGCCCTTCCCTCAACAGAGGGGACATGATTTGATTTGAGCAGGAACTGCTGCCATGGGCTGATAACCCAGCCGTGTTTCCAAGAGCTGGGGAATCCTCACATCGGCCAGGACAAAGAGGAACCACGAGAAATTCAGGTTTACAGAAGTTATTCAGGAAGGAAGGAGTTAGCCAGAACACCCTGACCCGCTTCCTTCCCAGGGAAAATCAGGGCAAAGGGTTTTTCACTGGTGATTCCTCAGGTTCTTCAACTCCTCCTGACTCCGCTGTAGGGGCCAGCAATGAATTTCTAACCAGAGAGAGGGAAAACAGCCCAGCTGATCTCCTGGACAAGGGAGGACAGGCTGAACAGGAACGGAGATTGTGTGGCAAAGGCTCTGCCTCGCTAATGTTTAACATTGGCCGTGGTTCCAGTGCGGTGTTTGCCCTGTGCCAGTGCCTGCACTGAACTCCAGAGGCTTCCTGTCCCCCCAGGGAGCCTGTCACCTGGGAGTGGCTTCTTCAGGAGAGGCAGGAATGGCACATCCTTACACAGCAATTTGCCAAGAAGCAGCACTGATAGAGATTGAAGAGAATCCCAGTTTCCCTCTTGTAAAGGTCAGTCAGGGGTGCTGCCTGTCCTGGGTGAAAGGACAATCCAGTGGGAGAAAACAGCAAATCCTCTGGAATCAGCTCTAGCTCAGGTGAGCAGTGGGATTCAAAGTGAGGGGCTGAGGGATAACATCACAATCAGCCCATGCTGGAACTGCCACTAAAGAAAAAAACCTCCCTTCATCTCACTCTTCAGACCAACATGTGTAAGATAAAAAAAATGGGAAGACATCCTGCCAAAAGCCAAGTCCTGTTTAAAAACACAGCTGCCTGATTGTCACACTGGGGTGATGTTCCCAACTAACCTCACTCTGCAAGAGGAAACATTCCCTTAAGAGTTGGACTCAATCATCCTTGTGGGTCCCTTCCAACTCAGAATATCCTGTGATTCTGTAACTTCCAAATAAAAAAGGCCACAGGAATCAGGACTTGAGGTGATGTTTCACAAAAAGCAGGTGTGTGACGCCCTGCGATGGAAAACGACTCTCAATGTGCTCTTAGAAGTCACACATTTCTCCCCCACACACTTTCCAGTTCAATATCCTAGAGCCAGAGAGAATTTTTAATCATCAAGAGGTGTCTTTGCAAACAGCAAAGTACCAGGAAACTAAATAAGAGTGCTACAACTGGCTGAGACTTTCCAAGCGACACCAATCGGAAGCACTTGTGCACAATGAGCACAAGGATTTCTCCCTTTGGCACAGGAAGTCCTTCACAAACATTCAAATAATACTGATTTAATCTCGTGGCTTGAATTTCTGGGCATGCTCAGTTCTGTGATCCAGCAAGAAAACAAGGGGGGGGGAAAGAGAAAAAGCTCTATTCATCAGGAGACAACATTGTGAGTTCTGTCCCCTGGGGAGAGGGGCCGGTGCTGTTTGGAAAGCTGTGTGTGTCCAGTGGGCACATTCCTCAGCAGTGAGAGCTTCCCCTGCCTCACACCAGGCTTTAATGTGTTAAACCCAGGCTTTTTCAAGGCAAGAGCATGCAAGAAGCACAGCCTCTGTTAGCCTGAGCAGTGACCTTGCCCAGGGTCAGCCATGCCCGTGCTGTTCCCTTCCAGCACCCAAACACCCAGCACAGGGTTAAGGTCACCCCTCCCATGTGGCCACAAAACCACTGCCAGTCCTGCTTTCCGTGGCTCTGCCCAAACACCAGGTGTTTACACGACAAGCAAAGGTGCTTCTGCCACTCACCATCCAGGTTTTTCCTGATATCCTTAATTTCATTACTCCCACTTCAATCCCTCGTTCCACACTAAATTCTTCCTCCTCCCGCCACAAAGCTGCTTTAGCCTTTAACTACTCTACACACACGGAGGGGTTTGACCTGTTGGACAAGTGATTCGGTGTCAGATGGCAACAAACTAGCCATGGTTCTCCCCTCACACCCAAAAATGCAAAGTCTCACTCCTGGAAAAACAGCAACACACGAACCAGGACAGTTTCAACCCCAGAAACCACCTCTTAAACCACTTCCCAGCAGTGTCACTATCACACCAGTTACTTGTACAGGTGACCAGGTTAAAAGAGCCTCCCTCACAACAGGAATGTATAAATATACATTTGAAACCATTTCCACATTATAAAAGAGCTCAAAGTTACACAGCACTAAATATTTTCTGCAAAGAACAGTTAATAGTTCAACAGAACTGCAATAATTCAGTTAATTCAGTAATAATTCAGTAATAATTACTCATCACAGTCCCCCTTCAAAGTGGGAAGGCTTTACAAAAACAAGGGTATTTCAAAAACCTTACAAGAAATTAATTTCATTAACTTCCAGGGGCACAGACCAGGAGGGAGCCTCTGCTCTGCACCCTCTTTTCCATGAGTGTTTTGCAACAGAAGGACATTGCTTAGCAGAAATGCTCACAGTGAATTTTCAGGTGATTCATACGGGCAACAACTCAGAAAACCTGGCAGCAGTTGGGAAATCAGCATATTTTTTAAAGCAAATAAACCTCACAGCTCACAACTTGCACCAAGAGAACACCTGTCTGGTGAGGGGTAAGAAAACATGAGACAGTTTATCCCATGTCCACCAAAAAAAACCCCGTGGAAAATATGAGTAAAAATCAAATTGTTTGAGTCCAAACATCTTGGCTGTGAACAAGCAAGTTTTGCTTAAACTGACCAGTTCTAGAAGAATGTTTTTTAAACACCAGATAAGCACTGGTTGGATTTATTTTTTTATACTTGCTACCAAAAATAATCACCTAAATATAAGTAAATGCAAAGTTGGAGAGTAGGTTGGGCCAAGTGACCACACACACACTTGTGATCCACCCTCATCATCAGCTCAGCTCTGGACACAACCCATCTCACACAGCAAAACTGGACGTGGCAGCAAATTATTTCCTCGTGTCTTCACTTGCATTTGAATATTTGAATATTTGAAATATTCAGGCCAGGGATAACCAGGTTCACTGGAAACATGCTGATTTCCCAACCACCTTTTACAGATTCCAATCCCCGATGTCACAAAGTCAAACCTCCCGACCTCACACACAAAGCTGAGGAAAAAAAAAGTGTTTTCATAACTGCTCTCCATGAAAATATCCACAGGATATTCAGCAAGAAAGGAAACTGCATTTGCCTGGGAAGGCTCTCACCTCAGTGTCCCACGAGTCCTGCAGGACAGAATTCCTGGTGCTACGTTTTGTCTGGGGAACGTGACCATCCTCTTCATTGCCATTCCTTCTCCTCTTCCTGAAGGAAAATTCAGGGAGAATGGGAGAAAACAAATTATCAGCCTACTGATATACCTTCTGGTTTGTTCTCTGAAGGCACTTCTACCAAAAAAAAGGAAGGTCTGGTAAATTCCTGGAGGATGTATCCAAGCCCTTGAGGTGCTGTGGACTCCCACATTCTCCTTTTAGCTGCTGTTGGAGGGGAGAGACAAAAGGATCCTGTTTCTCACACGAAATCAGTTTAAGGGACATGGACTCACATTAAAACCATCTTTCTAAATAAACTCATTGAACAATTCTCAGCCTTGCACATCTAAAAATAATCCTGGGCCCTGGAGTGACACCCGGGAACAGGATGAGTGGCAGTGACCACACTTCAATAAACACCCAATTAATTCACCCTGCTCACATGAGCCTGCACTCAGTACCCACGATTTCTTGAGTCTCTCCACCCTGGCAGCTTTTGAAGCCAAGTCATGTTCCTGAGTAACATTATTTTCCATGCAAAAATTAAGTTTTGTCAGGAAACACCCCGCAGAAAACAACCCCTTCCCTGTTTCTGGTCTATCTGCCACCCTCCCATGGCAGCCTGTACTGTCTGGCCTGATAAGTAAGAGTTTTAACACACCAACAACCTAATTTTTATCCAGATCTCTGCAGGCATCAATGCAAAGGGGGGTTTGAAGGAGGGTAATGGGATAGGGGTGGTGCTGATATTCCCATATTAGAGACAACACAGGGAAGACCTCAAAGGCCAGGTTGGATCGGGCTTGGAGCAACCTGGGCTAGTGGAAGGTGTCCCTGCCCATGGCAGGGGGTGGGACTGGATGGGCTTCAAGGTCCCTCCCAACCCAGACCATTCCATGGTTCTGTGACATCAACCCAGCAGCTGATCCACAGCATCATCCCAGAATTCCCGTCCCCTGAGCCCACAGAATTTCAATGCTGACATCAAAGGCTTCTTCCCACTGTACAAACATGACAAGTCACCCAGGATCTCAGCACCATCCAAAGCACAGGATGGAGCTCTGCTGGTGCCTAAAATTAATCCGTGCTCGAATGAGTCAAAACAGGCTCGGGGGAGGTATTTTTAGCCGGATCTTTTCTCACAGACAGCACACTCAGCTGCGGGATCTGGCCCACGCCCACAGCCCAGAGCTCCCCACCCCCGGGGCCACAGACACCAAACCCTGTCCAGCGGCTCCCCCCTCTCCCGGCACCACTTTCCGTGGAAGGGACACGTCTGTGTTGCCTCTGGATCCCTCCTTCCCTCAACCCCTCCAGGCCAGGTTGGACGGGGCTTGGAGCAACCTGGTCCATGGAAGGTGTCCCTGCCCATGGCAGGGGGTGGCACTGGATGGGCTTCAAGGTCCTTTCAACCCAAACCATTCCATGACCCCACGGCCCCACAACCCTGGGCACAGCCCAGCTCCCACAGGCCCCGTGGTCCCTCTGCTTTCTCCCTCACCATCTCCCCTTCCCCACCGATCCCATAAACACCGATCCCATAAAGCCCCCCGCACCCTCTGCATCCCCTACGCCCCTTCGACCTCCCGACCTCACCCAACACCCCCCACCCAAACCCCCCCCCCCCCAGCCCTCAGAGACCCCTCAGAGACCCCT